TAATGTCAACATATATATATATATATATATATATATATATAATATATATTTTTGCAAAATAATTTCTTACTAATCAAACATTTTAACAACACATGGTGCTTGTAATTTATGTAACATTGAAATTTCTTCTAAGCAACCTTGTGCTGAGTCCTTATCCATACGATTAAGATTAACACATTTAATAGCACATAACTCGAGAGAAGATAAATCTTGTGCTCTTAAAACTTCTCCACTCATACCTTGACCAAGTGTACCCAAAATTAAATACTCTTTTCCTTTAACAAAAAGAGTTCTATTTTGCCTAGATTTTGGAATATTAGATGGCATTGAAAATTGTAAATTTAATGGATTATCTATAACTTTTTTAAATTCTTGGTGTTGATTTTGATTACTAACTTCTGAATGTTGATTCTGATATACTGATTTTACAGTTTCTTTATTGTTGTTGATACAATGTGGAACATGTTTATTTGATATTTTATTTATTGTTTCTTTATCTAATAACTTATCCTTTTTACTTTGATTATATTTTTTTTCTTTTAATTCCAGATGTTCAACATTTTCTGATGTATCAAATATTTGTTTTGACAAATCTGTTTTATTTAAATTTTCATATGATAATTTATTTTGAATTTTAGGTGTTTCTTCATTTACCTTAGGAAATTGAGATCCTTGTAATAAATGTTTATTATAAGCATCATTTTGTGTAAAACTTCCTGTGTCTGCTAAAGGCTTTCTTAATTTACCTCCTGTATCGAAATATCTAAAATTATGTATGTTTATAAGAAAGATAAATTAATATTAACACTATTTAAAAAAATCATATTATATTAATATATATACCTTGGAGTTTCATTCTTTCCTATACTTGATGTAAAGTAAAAAGAATTTTTTGGAGTTTGCATAGAATCTTTGAAATTAATATTCTTGTTCTGTAATGGAGTTTGTTTTATATTATTTTGAGACCAATGAGATGAAATTGTTAAAGCTAAACTATGATCTTTAGAGGTTGGATTTGATAATTTGTTTTGTGGAGTTTGAATAATATTTCTACGAGAAAAACATGGATCTGGATGTATAGAATTAGATGCATGTTTTAAAGGAGTTTGTAACCATTGATCAATAGAATTAACAAATGTTCCTGTATCTGATATTAATGATTTACCCTTGGAAGATACATTTTCATAATGAATTTTCTCTTCACTTGCTATGGATGCTAATTTTTCTTCTACTGTTTCTAATGCTTCTTTTTTGCAATTTATATTCTGCAAATTATGCATTCCAAATTGTGGTATCTTTTCAAAATATTGAAATGTAGAAGCAATAGATTCAGTATTATTGTTCATTTTACAAGAAGTTTGTTGGTCTAAAAGTTGATCCTGAGTCAATTGTTCTTTAATTTCTTCTTTAATTTCTATATTAGTAATATATTTATTTTTGTGTTCAGTTTGTGGAAGTTTTTCTTGTGCATTAGTTTGAATATTTAATTGCATTTGATTTGAATGTTCACATTTCACATTTTCATTTGTCATATTATGTTCATATTCATGAAATGTTGATTTAATTTCAGGCTCACATTCTACAATATTATTAAATGATATGGATTCTTTACAAGTTTCTTTTAATTTATTAGATGTTACATTAAGCAAAGATAATGATTGAATTGAATCATGTTCAACATGATCATCTTGTGGTAAAGGTTGAGGATCATCAAAATCTGATTCAATATCAGAATCTTGTGGTTTGTCCTCACTTTCATCATCATCGCTTTCACAAAAATGTAATAATTCTTTTACTCGTATTGGTTGAAATTTTGGACGTGAATTGGTATGATTTTGGAAATCCATGTTATTTAACATAAGCCTGTCATTTGTTGATAAATCTGACATTTTAAAAAATATATAAATTTATTCTTCTTTTAATTAATTTTAATTAATTTATACTAGTAAAAAAAATAACAAAGATATATGCATGTAAAATATATCACTTCAAAATATCCAAATCTATTAGAATAATTGGATGTTCAAAGTGATGTCTGATATATTTAAAAATTATTAATATTTCTTGAGGATCAAATAAAACAAAACAATTGTAATTATTTTCACTTTGTTGATTAGCAAGCATTATCGTATTTATGATTGTAAAAATCACTTGACTCATAACATTCAATAAATAATTCTTGAATGTATTAATAAGAATATAAAACACATTTTATTAAATACTATCAAAAACACTTAATTTTGAAAAATATATTCATTAAAATTCATAATTAGTTTTTATAGTTTTAGACTGTTTGTTTCATATTATACTGGTTTTTCGTTTACGTCATAAAATTCAAACTTCAAACATGAACGTTGATTGGTTAACGTTAACAGTGTTGCAATACATAATTTTGTAAATTTAGGGATATTTTTCAGAACTGAATTAGCGCTTTTACGTAAATTGATTGTAAATATATAATTCATAGTTAACATCAAAAGGTTTTTTTTATTAAATTAATATAATGAAATTAACATAAAAATAATGTTTTTTAATATTTTACATAATGACATGTTACAGTGTGTTATGTTATATTACAATGACTTATATTTATATTTGACAATAAATTGAAAGTGTATGATATATAATAGATGACTGAAAAACAATCATTGATTTTAACATAAAATACAATTTTTTTACTAATACATATTTTTTAAATATTATAAATGCTTAAATTTTATGAATAAGTTTTACTTTGCTAAAATTTTAAAAATTAACTATTTTGAAATTTTATATTTTACAATAAATTTAAAATTTGTATGCAATTATTAAAGTAGATAAATATACAATGTTGAAAATCGATATTGAAAAAAATGTGAGAATATACATATCTAAAATATTCAGAATATATATAATAAAATGAAAAATATTGTCTTTTTTTCCATTTATGCATCTTATTTTTAAATAATTTTAATTTAGTTTAAATATATTGTTTAAAAAAATTATTAAGTTTAAAAATACATAACTTATTTGGTTTAATACAAATTTTGAACACTTGTAATAATCATAATAAAGAAAAACAATTTTATTGTACTATATTAAAATATGCATTATTATATTATTATTTGTATATATATCATACTTAAAGAATTTCTGGAATTTTGTTTCTGGTCACTAAAAATTGCATATAATACATTTTCAAAGAATTGCAGTAAAAAACAAGATTTTATAGAATAATATGCAGTCTTTACTTTTAAATTTTCTTTATACTCTGTTTATCTGAGCTTAGTTTTTATTAAGGTAAATTATGTATAAATAAATTGCTTTTTTGTAGCTTACTTAAGATTTAAATTAAATTATATTTAACAAATTAATTAATTTATGTATCGTTTTTTTTTTTATTAAAAAAACGATCGATATTCGTTGCTACTTGCTTCTCTATTTCGAGATCGATCTTCATTTGTATTCTAGGAATTACTAGGAAGCAATCACGAAGATGCAAAACATTTAAACAGATATACTTCATCATTATTTTGCATCTTTAGTCCCTAGTAATTATGTTTTGTATGAATTTCATTTTTGTTATTTCACTCGACCAGAATTGATATAACCATACAAATATGATTTTTAACAAAAAGAAAATTGTTACTAAAGCTGAAATAAAAATGAACATGGCGCTTGGTAAACATTGGCAGTTTGATATACCACTCTTTAATCTTTTCGGCATATAAATACCGTGGAAAAATCCGAAAAGTATCGAATGCCATATTCAAACTTTTAATTATAAAATGATCAAACAAAACGATTGGTATTTCAGCGCCTTGCTAAAATGTGTAAAGATCAATATAAAAAATAATATTTTATTTAATCCTTAGGGACGAAATTAGGAATTGTATTTTAAGTAATGAAAAAATGTTCTAGACTATGTTGCAATATTCTTAACGTTTTCCATTATTATAATTAACAGCTCGCAATGGTGCTTTAAATGTTGATGCAGATTGTTGTTGAAACTGATATGCTAGAGGATGAATTTTAAAGCCATATAACCTGTAAAAAGATCATTTTTTGTTTTATATAATTTTATTAGAAATATAAATTTGTTATTATTTTAAGATTCAAACAAATTTTTATATGATTTTTACAAAAACTTTTTAAAATGAAAATTATTTTTTATTTTTTATAACTTACCTAGGTACAAACTGATTTGTTGGACGTTTGGGTCTATATTCTGGATGAACCATGAAAAGCATATGGGGAAATCCTGTTCCAAAATATGCTCCATCTGTGTGATGATGTCTAGAGCTTTTTGGTGTATAAACATCCATACATTTGGGACAATAACTTTTAACCATTGCTTCTCCAGGAACATCACTAAGACCCAGAGGCAACATAGGTTGGGATTCACAATATACACGTGGACAATAACCAAAATCTCCGGATTGATATTTTTCAATCATTTGAGCAATGCCACGATTAGTAAGAATGTAACGTGCATGAATTAATCCATAAAGTAATTCTGCTGCTTGTTCAATTAATTCAGATTGGTTTGGATGGCCATCCAATTCATCATCTACAGAATAAAAACAAGCTTAAAAGTACTTTGATATTTTCTGGCAAGGTATAAATAATATATTTACCAGGTTCAAGATCAAGAATCATATCTAATGCTTGCCTATAATGTGGTACTTGTTCATTTAGTCCGGTTAAATTAAACTTATCCTGGATATAATCTTCATCAACCTATAGAAATATTGTAATTAATTATAACAAATTATTAATATTTATAATAGATAAAATTATATTTATATAAAATTATTAAATTTTATAAATTAAATACTATCGTTCAATATTATTTAAAAACAAAACGTTATGGAAAATTGTAATGAAATGAAGTTCATTTAAATCAACAATTTCAAAATTTTTAATTATAGAAAAATAAGGCATATTAAAATATATGTAATTAAAATCAAATATTATGGTAACAAGTGAATACTTACTTCACAAAAAAATTCATTTCCCCTGAGATTGCAAAACCACGAAATCCAGGATACCTCCTCAGAACTGCTCATTTTCCTATGAATAAAAAAATGGAAGAAATATTTTTTTATCGATATATAGAGTAAAAGTGATCACCGCGATAAAAGAGCGCAGGATTCGTATATAATACGTAAAGGTACGTGCGCAAAAAAGTTCTCGAATCTCCGTATATTATGCACACATATATACGACGTCAGTGCTTAGTGTACGCCTGGCAATTGGTTAGAAAGGCGCCAACGAAAGGCTAGGTATGGGGAGCTGAGAGTGAGGGGAGCAAATGGAGTTTTCACTTTACTAGGCAAGATGCTCGACGTTACAGCCTATCCGGCAGTTCACCTACGTTTCCGTGGTCATTGCTGCTTCGTCAACTGATTTTCAAACACGATGTACAGTCCGACACAGCCAGGAAGCACATTACTCGAGAAAAAACCTTGTAGGACGAATGAAAACCCAAAAATAAACAGCCTTTACGGCTTACCTTTTGGTGCTTTGATTAGCCACGCTTGCTCGTCCCAATGATGTAGATAGCGCTGTCGTACCCTTATTCTATCCGCCACCTTCCGGCTTCTTTTTATAAATTTTTCTTTTATTTAAATATTTTTAATTAAAAAATTTTTTATATAGTGCTAACAAAATTTTAGTACCTATTTATTGAATATTAATATTTATAATAATGATTTTAATTAAATTTTTATATGTATTTTCATAAACAATTTTTTCTCTACTTCGTTGACCAATGAACGATCAATGTATTTCCAATACACTACTTTAGCCACAAATTTCCTATGTTTTATTTTAATAATATTTATTTAAAAACAATATAGATGATCACACCATTTTTCTATTTTTTCTTTGGATTTGTTGAAAACTTGTTTGACAATCAAAAAGATTTAAAAGTGATATGCATATTATATAGTATCACATGACCTGTATCCTAGCAACTTTAAACAACATAAAGTTAACAAACTTACTAGATACAATTTTATGTTGCAATTGTGTTTTATATTTAATTACAAAATGGTCATTTATTATATATGAATTTGTACTACTATATTCAAGTTTTATGCGATATTTTATATATTAATTATATTTCTCGAAAAATATGATATTGTGAACTAAATATCATAAAATTGATATTTTTATTATGTATTATAAATTTATAATCAAAATAAAAAATTATAATTATATATAAATTAAGAATCCTACAATTGTTTATAAAATTAAATAATGTAAATAATGTACAGTTAAGTCATTAGTGAATAATTAGGTAAAGCTAGGTGCTATTTAGAATGTAAAAGACAATTTTATCTACAATTCTTATCATTTCGATTAATTATCTTAAAATTCATTATATGGAAAAATAGAATAAAATTGATTATGGTACGTATAATCCTATAATTATATATTTTTTTTATTAATATTATGAAGTATTAATCTTTGTTTATAGATGCATATGTGGTTTTGGTTTGGAAACAATTTAGACAATTTTTTTTTACCAGGATATAATGTCGCTACAATTTTCAGTTTTTTTTGTACTTGTTTAGGTTTATTTGCAATTGCAATATTATATGAGGGTATGAAAGTTTTACAAATCAAGTTACAACAAAATACAATAAGCCTTTTACAGAAACAAAGCCCAAGATTATCAGAGAATTCTTGTTTGTTATCTAAAATATCCTCAAACAACATTAAAACAAAAATTTCTTTACATTGGTATCATTTATATTAATAACTTATATATACATTTTTACAAATTTTTAAATTATAGAAACAAATTGATGTTATTATAAATTAATGTTATATATTATTTTGTAGTATACAATGGTGTATATGGAGTTTCCAAATATTTCATTGGTTTATACATACATTTCTTGGTTATCTTTTAATGTTAGCTGTTATGACATATAATGTATATATCACTATTACTATTGTGCTGGGAACATGTCTTGGATATTGGATATTTGGTCCACAACTTATAGAACTTAACATGAAACGATTTTATAAGAGACAAATATTATTAGACTGTGATAAAGAATGTGCAGGTAAAATTTCAAATATTTGTTAGAAATAATATTGTAATATTTTAGTACTATTGTATAATTTTTAGATAACATAATACATAGTCAGAGACATGAATCAACAGTTTCTGTTGTCGCAGACCAATTAATAACAGAAGCTACTGTTGAAGTTCATATGCCAAGAGATGCTTAAATCAAACATTTATACTACTAAAAATAGTTACTATTGTTTGTTAATAAGTAAAGTATTATTTTGTTTAAATATTTTATATAATAATATTTTGTAATATTTTGTATATTTTATACTTAAATTAATTATTTGTTATATATTATTTATAATAAATTAATATATTAAAAAAAATATTAATATATTTATATTTTTTTTAACCAAAAGTATTTGAAATTCATTTTTTATATATAAGTTTTTGATCCAAAAAGTATATACTCTTCTTTACTACATTATAGTTTTATTATTTTCTTCATCAAATAAACATCTGTAAGAACTATTATCAGTAGCTAAAAAATGATCATATGCATTTTTCGTTGTTATATATGATCCACAAAGCCAACAAAAATAAGCATTGCAATGAATACATTTCATTTTATTACACCCATCTATTTTTTCAATCATAGTTGAACAATTTGAACATGATTTAGTATATTTCTGTAAATAATATTACATTATACAACTTAATATAAAAATAAATTTAATTACTCATAAAAATATTAGGACACTAAGAAGAATTTACTAAAACAAAATAACAATTTTTTATGAAAATTTTATAAAAGTAATTATTGATATTAATATTTTCATTGTTCTATAATATATTTTAAATTTTATTTTATTTTGTTTTAGTTTCTTAAAGTATTAAAAATTATTTTTATTAAATTATTTTTATATGCATTCTTGTATATTTAATTTAATTCAATTGTAATTCATTATTTTAGTTTAACATTTCATTGTAAATTTAAGATATTACATGTGATTTTACAATAAAATATATATAATATGCAAAAATAAATAATTTATTAATTTATTATATGCTAAAAATAAAAAATCTACAGATTTTTATAATTAACAAAGATAATTTAAATTATCAAAATTAAATATGTTAGTGTCTGAATATTTTTTTAAGTAACTGAATATAAATTATTATTAATAATATATATAAATAAATATAAATAAATATTTATTTATTGATAAGATTTAATATATACCTTTAAATATTCTTCTGCTAAAAATTTTTCTGCAACTAATTGAATTTGTTTTATGCCATATTTTTTTTATAATAATTTTTGTTGATATTTATTATTATTTTGATATTCTTCAATAAAATTTAATATATTACTTGAATTCATAAAACAAGGTTCTGCTCCATGATATACCTAATACCACATTTAAGTATTAAGATGCAATCAATTTATTTTTTTTTAATTATAAATTATTATACCTTATAGCAATAAATACAAAAAAATATAATCACATTTATTACATTTTGCTAATGTATCATTATTATTTTTTATAAGTGGACATTGACATGAAATTCTAAGACAAAAGATAACATCTTTTATACTTCTTAATGTCACATTTAATAACATATTTTCATATTATGAAAATGATTTTGGACAAAATTTCTTAATTTCATTAAATATAATATTAAAATTACAATTTAAATCAGAACATAGAATATTATTTATATTATTTTCATTAATTTTTATAGATATGTACATATGTATACAATTTTTGCAATATATATGATTACAATTTTTAAGTTTTATCCAATGTTTACCACAATATTCTTTAAAACATATGATACACTTAAAATAATTATACTCAAATTCAGTTTCTTCTTTATATTTATCATAATCTATTAAAAATTTTAATGGAAATAAAAAATACAATGTATTAAATTTAGTTCTAATATCCAAATGAGAAAATTAACTTAAAATAATCTGTCATATCATGATATACCATGTACATAAATAAAATATCTAATGTATCTTTAATTTTAAGAAAATAAAGAATATCATTTTTTAAAAATTCAAACTATAAAAACAATATTTGTTGACCTTTATTATCTAGCTATATTTCATCTAATTTTTGACAAATAAAAGATATTTACCAAGAAGAAAATCATGAAATAATAATATAACAATTTGGTGATTTTTTACTTAAATAATCATCAGTTGTAAATATATTCTAATGGGTGGCAAATATTTGATAAAATAATTAGAAAATGAATGAAAATCATCCTCATAAATATTTTTAAATTTTAATAAAACTTCACCCTCATCAATATTAGGAAATATATTATAATAATATTCAATTATATCTTCTTTACTATATGAGAATTCATTATAGTTATAAATATTTGAAAATACTAAAATTTCGTCTTCTTGTCATTTCCGATTATTAATTATAAATTGTGACATTCTCAAAATTTTTGAATTATTTAATTATGTAAATATATTATTTATCTTCTATCTTATGAATTGAATTGTGAAAACTAACTTCACATTTCATGAAGCATTATTATAAATCACATAGATAATCATATAGATAAGATTACAAACATATATACAGTTACTCACAAAATTAGAGTTGCTGGATGGATATGGTACGCTATCCCTTCTACTATTAAAAGTGATTCTATTCCCCTATAGCAAATAATATATCGGAGAATATGTGACGTCACATTATCTTCATTGTCACATTAAAAAATACATCACGTGATACGATATGTGATGCGACGCTTGGTTTTGGCGGACTAGCTTGACTACGTGATTTTTGTTTAATGACAATGGAGATAATATGTCATCGAGATAATATCATCTTCCGATAGAAATTCGCTACAGAGGAATTGAATCATTTTTAATGATAGAGTGGTTAACAATCATGTTCATCTAGTAACATAGTACAATATGTGATAATAAAAATAGTGAAAAAAGACATGAAAATAAATACAAAAAAATATAAAAATATATCTATTGTATGATAAAAATTATATTATATTTTTAGAAATCATTTCATTATGTATAAATAAAGTGAATTTATTATATAAATATTATTATATTATTATAATAATTATTATATTATTTATATACATAATAAATAAAATGAAATTATATTTTTATTTTTTATTTTTAATCAAAATCTTCAATTTTTAATAATTAATAATTTTTTTGAAAGAAAAAAAATGAATATTTGTGTAATAAAATTATATATAATTAAATAATAATATCAATAAAGTCATAATTATATATTATAATATAATAATAATAATATATACATATATATTATTTTACATAATTATTATATATAATTATAATTATAATTAATTATATAATTAATTTAATGAAATAAATATTAATTGATATTAATATAATTAAATTATAGTAATAAAATTATATAATATTGCAAATATGAACAATGATCAAATAATAGTTTTATTATATTGTGAAGTCTTGTAGCAACAAAAGAATAGAATTCATTGAATCAACTATGAAATGAAATATTTTTATATTTTGAATATAATTATAAATGCTATTTATTTTTTATTTTTAGCAAGACAATCATTTTTCAGACATTTTTCTTATTTAATATAGTTTTGTATTTTATTATTTATTATTTTTTTTATGTTATAATATATTTTATTATTTTTCAATTTGACAAGTCTTTTCAAATATAATTTTATACATAATTTTTACTGATAAATATTCATTCCTTTTTTATCAAAAATTGTTAAAAATTTTGGTAACAAAAAAAAAAATTAATAATAAATTCATTTTGTTTATAATTAATAACTTTGTATATGAAACGGTTTTTATGAAGCAGTATATCATGATTATAATTTTTATAAAAGAGTTTTTTTTTTATAAAAGATTTTTATAAAAGAGTTANATTCAAATAATTTTTGAATAAAGATAACAATATATTTATTTAAAAAATCCTATCAAATTTTTCATTTTTTATTTATCGTTATTTTTTCAGCTTATCATGCTGACAAACAATTTCTAATTTGCAATTTAAAATATAGTTCCATCTTTAGAAAATATACAGTTCATAATAAAAATCTCTATGTAAGTTGTTTAACTATTTTTAATTATTAAATGTAAACAATTAAAATATAAAACATTTTTGTTTATATAATATTATTAATTTTCATTTGTTTATATCAAGTTTGTGAATAAAATTATAATTATTTTATATTTATTTATACATAAAAAATAATTAATATTAATTATATAATATTTAAAATAATAGAGATATAGAATAATAAAACGATATATATAGACGAAGGCTCCTTTAGATTATGAAAAAGATATAGGTTAGGTTATACGTGTATAAAATACAATTTAAAATGAATGAAGAATCATATTTCAAGAATAAAATGGCAGAAGTAGAGGCAAAACATACTCTTCACAGTGGTATTTTTCATCCTGTTTTACGACAATGGCAATCGCCAAATATAGAAATTACGGTTAATACTCTCATGTATCCTATCTTCATCTCGTAAGTAAAATTATCATTTAGGTATATGTATATGTATAGTAAACTTATATGTTTATAATCATTTTAATCAATAAATAACTATTAAAAATGAAATTTAAAATATTTATGTATTATTAAATATTTAAAATATTAATAAAATAATAATTAAAATATTATGTAATATTTGTATTATTTGTAGTTTTAGATTATAATAGAATTTTCTTTACAATAAAATAAAAAATAAACATTAAATATATGAAAATTTTTCAGATTGATCTATTTGAAAGATTATTATTTTTTAATAATTAGTGTTTATTTTTTTATTATAAAACTATTTTATAA